ATCTAACTAAACAACGCCAGAGAGTAACCACTCTCGATTATCTAACTTAACAACGTCAGTTAGGAACCAGTCTCGATTATCTAACTAAACAACACCCTAGAGTAACCAGTCTCGATTATCAAACTTAACAACGTCAGTGAGGAACCAGTCTCGATTATCTAACTAAACAACACCCTAGAGTAACCAGTCTCGATTATCAAACTTAACAACGTCAGTGAGGAACCAGTCTCGATTATCTAACTAAACAACACCCTAGAGTAACCAGTCTCGATTATCTAACTAAAACCCCAGAGAGTCACCAGTCTCGATATTTAACTAAACAACGCCAGAGAGTAACCGCTCTCGATCATCTGACTAAACAACTTCAGAGATTTTTAATTATCGATCAACGCCATAGAGTAACCTGACTGGATTACCTACCAAAACAGAGAGTCACCAGTCTCGATTATCTACCCAACCAACGCCAGAGAGTCACCAGTCTCGAGTATCTACTCAAACAACGCCAAAGAGTCACCAGTCTTGATTATCAACTCAAACAACGCCAGAGAGTCACCAGTCTCAATTATCTACCTAAACAACGCCAGAGAGTCACCAGTCTCGATTATCTATTCAAACAAACCACTAAACACAATGTCTATTCCTAATACAGTACCAACCCAAAACATACTCCACCTCCACCTATAACAGGCCAAATCAGAACATACATACACATATAAATTTGCTAGGATTCTGCATCTTTCTTGATCATATTTCCTGTAACAGGTAAACTGTCAAGACGATGTAACAGGGTGGCCCTTGCTGAATCCTCGTCGTCACGGGGCGTGTTATCGGTAAATACCGTATCCATGTAAGGAATGTTGATGTTAGATACGTGACCAACACACCTTATTTTGTGGTCGTCCCTAAACAATACATCACAGTGGAGAAAACGGCCATCAGTGTATTTGTTCTATTGACTTGTATTACACTCTTCCTAAACTTTAAAAGATCCAGATCGCTGTGTGTTGAATAGTTTGGAAATATCATAATGCAATAAACTTACAAGCAATCCATTCAAACGCGTTCTTGGAGTAGTGTTCGTGATTACTTATCTGAAAAGCCTAACTTGTTCATAGAAAAATATCGTATGTCGTGATCTGCGTTCTTCTGACGTGGCTTTATTTCACGTCGGTACAGCTGAGCTCAATGACAAGTTAAATCCAACCTTGTCGTATTTGACTTCGTTCAAGCCGAGTTCCATTACAAATTTGGTCTTCCTTTGCTTAAATTCGACTGCGATATAGCAGAACTCAATTGCAAGTTTAGTCTTCACGACCCATGTGGGAATCGAACCGGGCCGTTGGCATGACGAGGAGGAACGACTGAACCACCAGTCCATCCCATCGCCAAACGTTACAGCTATGAGTAAAAAATGTCAAAAGGGGTGTCTAACAAAGGCGTCTTACTAATAGGTGTCTAACTAATGAATGTCTAACTACAGGGCTTCTAACTAACGAGTGTCTAACTAATGGATGTCTAACTAAAGAGTGTCTAACTAGAGGGTGTCTAACTTACTGGTGTCTAACCTACGGGTGTCTAACTAATAGATGTCTAACTAACGATGTCCAACCAACGAGTGTCTAATTTACGAGTGTCTAACTAACGAATGTCTAACTAACAATTGTCTATCTAACGAGTGTCTTACTATTGGATGTCTAACTAACGATATAGCAGAACTCAATTGCAAGTTTAGTCTTCACGACCCATGTGGGAATCGAACCGGGCCGTTGGCATGACGAGGAGGAACGACTGAACCACCAGTCCATCCCATCGCCAAACGTTACAGCTATGAGTAAAAAATGTCAAAAGGGGTGTCTAACAAAGGCGTCTTACTAATAGGTGTCTAACTAATGAATGTCTAACTACAGGGCTTCTAACTAACGAGTGTCTAACTAATGGATGTCTAACTAAAGAGTGTCTAACTAGAGGGTGTCTAACTTACTGGTGTCTAACCTACGGGTGTCTAACTAATAGATGTCTAACTAACGATGTCCAACCAACGAGTGTCTAATTTACGAGTGTCTAACTAACGAATGTCTAACTAACAATTGTCTATCTAACGAGTGTCTTACTATTGGATGTCTAACTAACGAATGTCTAACTAAAGGGTGTCTAACAAATCGATGTCTAACTAACGAGTGTCTAACTAACGAGTGTCTAACTAATGGATGTCTAACCTACGAGAGTCTTACTAATGGATGTCTAACTGACGAATGTCTAACTAAAGGGTGTCTAAATAACGAGTGTCTAACTAACGAGTGTCTAACTAATGGATGTCTAACTAACGAATGTCTAACTAAAGGGCGTTTAACTAACGAGTGTCTAACTAACGAGTGTCTTACTAATGGATGTCTAACTAACGAATGTCTAACTAAAGGGTTTCTAACTAATGGATGTCTAACTAACGAGTGTCTAACTAAAGGGTTTCTAACTAATGGATGTCTAACTTATGAGTGTCTTACTAAAGGTTGTCTAACTAATGGATGTCTAACTAACAAGTGTCTAACTAGCGAGCGTATAACCTACGAGTGTCTAACTAACGAGTGTCCATCTAACGAGTGTCTAACTAATGGATGTCTAACTAACGAGTGTCAAACGAAAGGGCGTCTAACTTACGGGTGTCTAACCTACGAGTGTCCCTTGCAAAAGGTTGTCTAACTTACGGGTGTCTAACTTACCGGTGTCTGACTTACCGGTGTCTACCGAAGGGCTCAGTCACACTGCCGTCCTTGATAGGACCATTCCCATTTAAAATTTGTCTGATCAAGATCCTGTGATTCGTGGCGGGAAATTCACAAACAATCAGATATTGTTCAGAAAGCGTCACGATTCAGCCGTTTCAAGCCGAATTCGTCCCGATTCTCCCGTTCTCAATCCGAATCAGATCCGATTTATATCTTCCGCATGGTAAAAAACGACCGAATATGTCCCGACAGTCCCGACAGTGACAGGACCGACCAAGACGGTTCGCATTCGGCAAGATCTGGACGCAAACTGGATTGCCCGTTTATCACGACAGCATTCCGACCCACAGGACACCTTTCAGACAACACAGGACACTGTTACGATATTGATCCGATACAGCAGAATCTGTCAAGACATAGTCACGATTGTAATCCGACAAGACAAAATCGGGTGAGTTTCCCGAACGGGACGCACCATACGGTCGGGAGTGCGTAGCCGACCTCTCTGGACCTTTCCCGATCCGTAGGACTCTGTTACGAACGTATACGACTGCGTTCAGACAATGATAGGACGTTCCAGATCATTGAGGATAGTAATCCGACTTTTTCACTTTTCGTTTCGTAGCGCTGTCTGATCTCAAACGGGAGCCATAATCGCCTCTGTGTGAACCTGGCCTTATGGGTGTCTACCTGATGGACGTCCAATTGACGGGTGTCTAACTAATGAGTGTCACTAATGGGAGGTTGCCAGACTGTTGACATGATAGATATGTCTGAAATAAACCAACTCTATCTTGTCTTCAAACAACACAAAACAAGATTTTTAAAGTAATTTCTCGAAAACAGTTTTGCATTTATATCCTTTCACCAAGAAATTTACAGTCGTTATTTCACAATATGTGTACACAGACGACGATAATGGAAGATGCAACCCTATCCCCGCTCCCTGGAGGAATGTGTAAACAGCGCAGGAAGAGAGGTCGAGTATGTGGGGTGTCATCTGACTCCATTCGACCACGATGATCAGGTATGTCTATAACAATAACCACTTTCCTGTCCAACTGTGTCTTAAAATGTCTTAGCGCTCGCCCCTTGACTTTCTGTTTAGTCGGTATCTCGGGCAACGCGGCCCATCATCGACAGCAGCTTTGTCAAAGGCTGTTCATATGTCAGAAATATACCCACGTGTTATACAGTTCATAACATTTCAACAAGCTTGACCAAGGACAAATAATTTTGTAATGCATCCACGTGTGAAATATTTTTGAATGTTGAATTATTTGAAGAATTATTTTATTGGACACAATTTCGTGATGAAATCTTGAGCAGAAACTGAAACTGTTAATGAGTCTGTCATCACGCAGCACATGATTGTACTAATTATTACACAGGCTACACAGGTGTGCGACAAGGAGAACCCTTTTCTGCCCTTCTCATTTCTTTCTACCTCAATTGTATGGAAATAATTTCCCGGATATTCTGTTCAGGCATTATGTTGAGCAGTTCATAACTTTGAATCACGCTTTAAAATACATTGTTTGTTCTATTTTGGATTCACACCTAACATTGTTTTACAACATACTTTAGAATAAAATGCAAAAAAGTATTTTCTGGGTACATATTCTCTCATCAGTTAGACGACATTTTCAGAAGAAAGATGACAAGAAACCAGAAATGTTGTCTTTAATTTAATTCATTTGTTATCAGTGGTTATCAGTGGTTTAGAATAATCTCCCAAACTGTGACATATATATATATATATATATAGTTATAGTTATAGTTATAGTTATAGTTTGGGAGATTATTCTAAACCACTGATAACCACTGATAACAAATGAATTAAATTAAAGACAACATTCAGGGTGTTATATATATATATATATATATATATATATATATATATATATATATATATATATATATATATATATATATATATATATATATATATATATATATACTTTTATCAATTAAAATTCATAAATCTTCATATGCAAAGGAAATAATGATATTTTACTTTATCAGAAATTTCATTTCGCATATTGGCTAAATGTATATAAAAAAAAAATATCGACGATCTTCTGTAACCTGGATGATAGTGAACTTCCCGGGGACACCTGAACAAATACACACCTACACGACAGTTGCTATACCATTGGCTGATAAACAGCAGGACTCTTCCTCTCTCATTGGCCAGGAGTGAAGAGACCCACCTTGAAATATGTCATGGTAATGGTCGTGTCTGTAATGGGCCCTTGTCTCCTTGGCTACACAATGTATAGACTGGACCCATCCTCGGGAGTCAGTGTGTTGCACAACATGTTTCTCTGACTGTTGTGGCAACAGATGATATTAAAAGAGCGGCGTGTACGGTAGGTGCCATATAGCTTCAGCCTGACACGGAAAAGACCAGTTCAGAACAGCAAGCACCATGGCGCACTTTCTTCACATGGTTTTCTCAGGTAGGGTGTTTATTCCTTTTTACGTCTCCCCTCCTTGCTCACATATTCTGGCACTTTTTGTCCATAGCTTATATGTATATTTGAACTTCAATAACGCTTGATGATCATATATATTTGAACTTTAATGACGCTTGAAGATCATTTATATGTATCAAATATACAAGTTCAAATATACAAATATGCTGTGAACAAAAAAGAACTAGAATATATATATACTTATCATCCAAACCTGGCTCCCACAGGAGATATCGCTTGGGTGAGATCAAGCGATATCTACATTGTTAGCAGTACTTTTTACACTTCAGACACTGCTTATTGCTGTCTACAAACTGAAAAAGTTAGAAGAATGATGTTGGGTGATAAATAAAATCTCACCCTTGTGTCTTTTGATATCAAATATATCAACAATCGTTGATATATTTAATATCAAAAGACACTTGGGTCTGATTTTGTCTCTCTCTCTCTCTCTCTCTCTCTCTCTCTCTCTCTCTCTCTCTCTCTCTCTCTCTCTCTCTCTCTCTCTCTCTCTGTTGTGTCCTCTTCGAATCTGGTTACTCTCTTGCCTTGACGTTTATGATGGCGTTTCTACCTTCTAACTTTATATTTTGTAATGAATACATATAGAATTAAAAATAAATAACACTCTTGTCTTTGGATGAATGCCTGATAAGGATTTCAGCAACAAAGATGAAGGCATCATATTCATATCTGGGTCCCACGAGTACTAGCACAAAGTACATCTTGTCGGTTATCAGTGTGATTTCGTGCGTGGCATTGACACTTGGGTTCTAGCCGACTCAAGTGTTTGATTAACGTGATAAATGTTTGCCAAACATAAATACTTCGATACTAATGTTTATTATTTTAAGATAATCAAAATGAAAACAAAACGACGGAAATATAATATTTGGCTATACCGGAAAGTGTACGTCCTCTCGCATGTTATATTGGTGGTGTGGACAGTAAGTTTCGTTTATGAGTGTTCTCTTCTAACCTGTCAGAAAAACATGTCAGGATATGAGAAGCATAGAATATATGTAGTTTGTCAGATAAGTCGAGAATGATTACAAATAATGTTTTAAATAATCGTGGAATAATTTACCAACGAATGGCTCAATCTTATCTGAAAAAAGGACAGTGACAAGAGTATATTAAAATATTCATAAATATATGAAATGACAGAATCTGCATAATTTAAGAATTCAACCAAACTTTTAAAAAAACTTTTGAAAGTTTATCGGATGTCCGTCCATATGAATGCGAATTAAACTTAATGCAAGCAATGACATGTTCGGGACTATGTAAATGTATGGGTAAGAATACAATGTGTCAAGAGGCCTGTTCTAGAGGTACCACATGCTCATTTTGCAGTGGAATCGTACAATCGACTGCTTTTGGCAGAGATTTCTTATGAATATAGTTTGATCCTCACGCTGAATACCCGGGTTTGATTTCCGACATGGGTACTATGTGTGAAGCCCATTTCTGCACCCCCCCCCCCCCTAAAAATGGCGTAAAACCATACTTACTCACTTATGAATATGGAAAGGGTTTTGTCAGTTGTATTTACATGTAATATTTAAACATGAGTAAGTAGTTGACCCAAAATTATGTTTATAGAAGTATTAAAACAGTACAAACTTAGGATGAAAAATCATCTTGGGTCACAGTCTTTTCCAATCATTTTGGCTTTATTTATTTCATTTGACCATGCACGTGTAAGAAAGGGAGTGAGTTTATGCTTGACGTCACATCGGCAATATTTCAGCCATATCGTGACGAGTAAGAATGAAGAAAGGCTAGTTTTAACATGTCTGATAATTTTCATCCCAATATTTCACTTTAAAACTTTAAAATCTGACATTTCCAGCGGACAAAAAGGGCCTCATCCCCTTTCCCCCCGTAACTTTCGGTTTAAGAACTGACTTCCATGTTGTTTGCGCTTATGGAGGTGTAAACGTATAAACACCCAAACAGCGCATTTACGCCTAGTGTTCACACTGGTATTAACCTCTACATCTCCGAAAACGCAAGACCATATTAACTCACTTCCCACACATAGATGTCAACGATAATTAATTCAAAGAATGCATATTTAATTATCCACCCCAAAAACTGTAGACAGCAATACGAAACCAGTGATACCCATCAGGGCAATAATACGACAAACCCCCCCCCCCCCCCGAATGACTATGCTTGGTTCGCCAGTCAGATATCACGTACTGACTTGCATCTATTTGTTTAAAGTTATTTCTAGGATGCATTGTTTAATTATCTCATAAGGACCAATCTATTATCGAATACCTCTGCAAACATTTCACTAAAGATTCTAATGAGATGTTTGCTTCCTCTATTGATCATCAGACCACGCATTAAATCTCTGGACGAAAATGTAAACGACCAGTCAGAAAATCCTCACAATTTATTCAAGCCTTGAAACGCGTTTAGTCCAGAGGCAAGTTGACATGTTCCGCGTACTGACAAGACGGTACCTATTCGCTGCATATATACATAGGGATTGGACTCCCCTTTATCCGCGGTAATCTGGAACTCTGTTAATGGATGTACATTGTATTGTAATGGCCTTGTCCGGCTATGGGTCTGTCTGCAAGGGGTATCATATGACGCGGTACTGAAAGCGTAAATACATTTACCGGTCTACCCGGAACATTTGCATGTCTATAAGCTAAGCTGAGGATAAAGTATGAGAAGTACATTCCTATCCATTACAGTGACACCATGACAGGAAAGACACTAATTGCTTTTTCAAAATAAGAAAATATAAACCGTCAGAGAACAATCAGTCTAATGAGTGAGTGAGTTGCGTGTAACGCCGCTTTTAACAGTATTCCAGTTATATCACGGCGTGCCAGCTTAATGTGGGAGGAAAGCCCAAAGTGATGCAAGTCTTAGACGCTTACCACTTCGGTGAAACCCACGAGCAGGGGTAAGGTGCTGACAAACCTAGAAACATAATCGTGGCAAACCGGGATGCGAACCAACAATCTTAGGTTTCTAGTGTGCCGAAGGGATGAAAGGATCACTGAAAATCGGTGATGACACCAGATGTTCTCGAAAAGGGTAAGCATGTCCTGCTCTACTGGTAGCACCCACCATTCACACTTTGCGATATAAGAATGTGTCTGTTTGCTGCACAATGTGAGTATACATAGTTCCTCCCTGTTACTCCTGTCTTCAGGCGAACTGATTGAGACATGATGTTTTGTCATCAACAGTAACGCTGCTTTGCGTCACCATCACCTCCACGTGGGCAGCGAACTGCATCAACGACGCCAGCTGTAACGGCCACGGCACCTGTCCCACGGCCTGCACAACTGTCTGCAGCTGCACTGGTGGCTATGGCGGGGACGACTGTGCTGTTCGTAAGTTGGTGTTAATGGTTTATGTTCACTCGAATTGCAAGCTCGCGTGACATGAGAAACTCGATTCAGGTATCTCGGCAAATTTCCTACGATGCATTCAATATCTCACAATAGTGACTTTTATATGAAGACGTTTATTGGAGTTAGGTCCCGTACCCGCCAGGATTCGCTGGCACACACACACACACACAAACACACACACAAACACACACACACACACACACACACACACACACACACACACACACACACACACACACACACACACACACACACACACACACAACACAACAACACACAAACACACACACAAACACACACACACCACACACATACACATACATACACACACACAAACACACATACACACACAAACACACACACAAACAAACAAAAACACACACACAAAACAAAAACACACACAAACACACACACAAACACACATACAAACACACACACAAACACACACACACATACACACATACACACAAACACACACAAAACAAAAACACACACACAAACACAAACACACACACAAACACACACACACGTCGCTATATAAGTGCAAAAAAGTTTGGACGCGACATTAAACCCCTTTTCACCTCGCCTAATATTTTGAACATAAAACATTCAGGATCCGATATTCATTTCTACCTCCATCCGTCCTCACGGTGGAACTTTGGGTTTTCCTTCACACTGAGCTAACACACCTGGATATAACTGAAAATATACTCGTGGGTTAAAACACACTCACTCTGTTCCCACTGTCTCCAGCTCCGGTGTGTACGGCGGGGGGCAGCGAGTGCGGTAGCAAGGGCACCTGCGTCACCGCCACGTCACCCTACTATTGTTCCTGTACGGAAGGCTACAGTGGAACGCTGTGTACAGTAGGTGAGTACAGCACTGATCATGGTTCACTGTTCGACTTCTGTAACTACTAAGATATATTAGTAGCTCACAAAACAAATTGCATATTTTCAGCTACTATTTTGAGCCCGTTCTACAAAGCACTTATCGCTAAGACGATCCTTACTCCCATACTCGTCTTAGAATTAATAATGAAAATAGGCTCAAAACAATACAGAACTTTTGTCATCGCTTATGTATGATAAAGGTGGTAACCATGGTGTCTGCACCGACACGTCGCAACAATGTAAAGAATTATGAATAAAAGCAACAAAGTCCCCTCCACATTCATAAGAAGTCACTGCTAAAAGCCCGATTCCGAATTTGTCATGTGCATGTGTTTCTGAATCACTATCAAATATTGATGACACCAGGTGTTCGCGAAAAGGTTAACGTATCCTGCTCTGCCGGTGGCACCCTGAAAAAACACGCTAACATATGTAAACAATTGTGAATTGCATAATATGACATCATTCTGTCACTGATGCGTCACATTTAAAGGAGTTGACAACCATACCATTTGCTTGCCAGTATTTTTTTCCAATCTTCCAATATGGCAAGCAAAGAAATAATACACATCTGCTTGGACGATCAAGCACTTAATGTTTTTTATAGATCTTGAATATCATTATACTTCTAGGTGTTACTTTTCATTTTTCATCATGAACATATTTGGATTTGCTTGGTAGATACTGAGTCAAGCAGATAATGCCATTACAGACGACTTTACTGAGTGCGTTTGGTTGTAGATAGATATGCCATGTGATAATGCATCGTCATCCAAATACAGAGTTTCTTTAAGCTGCGAGGCATAATATTGAACCCGGAAAATAATATTACTGTAAGGCAACACAAAAATGGATTTGTAAATTTGATTTTCAAAATGTTTGTTAGTTGTTTAACGCTGGACTGCATTATTCGAGCTGTATAACGGCGGTCTGTATATAATCGAGTCTGAACCGGACAATCCAGTGATTGACATCACGGGTTTCGTTCTAAGCAATTGGGATATGATGACATGCATCAGCGAAGTCACCGAGCCTGACCACCCGCTCCCGTAGGTCTCACGTTACGACAAGCATGCCGAAGATTTATTCTAACCCAAATCTTCACGGGTTATTTTCAAACTGAATCACATCTGGGCCATAGTCTACTCTAACTGCAGGAACGGTTACAAGATGACTACGTGCACGGTATTTCATCATGCGTAAAGCACAACCTACTCTACCTTGATGTTTGCTTCATCGCAAACTTTAGCAAACACCCAGTGTCGTAACTGTAACTTTTAGAGTTCAGAACCTGGGTTCTTGTGGCCCCCGTTTTGAGTTTGGCTTTCTCTTTTTCATTTTTTTCTCTGCTTCTTTAAATGACGGATTTACCCCGAACCAAATTGTTAAAATATGAAACTAGTGTATTTAGGCAAGCAAATATTTGGCTCGCTGGTTGTAGGTTCGAATCCCTTATTTGTCCGATTATGATCCCTGCTGTGGCAGCAGCATTTCCGTCCTCATGGGCTCCTCCGTTCAACTGACCTTGGTCAAAGTGACTTTTTTCAACTCACACAGCATCGTTAAAGCCAACATTGCCCTTAATAATATCATTGCAGCACCCATTTGCACAGCTGCAGGAACTCAGTGCGGCACCAACGGCGATTGCACAACAACAGCATCTCCCTATGTCTGCACCTGCAAGAACGGATACACTGGCACACTGTGCACCATAGGTTAGTTAAATATTTTACTTCTATAAACCGTCTCTAGATTCAGTCGTTACTTCAACGGCAAACCCGAGAAGCACAACTGTGTTGCTGATACTGGCGTTTGTTCAAGAGACAAGTGCAATTACTACATAATTTCATGAGGGCCTGAGTTCTTGGTGAAATTGCGCCCTGGGTTACTAAAGACTAAGACTAAAGTGTACACATCTGAGATCAGGGTCACTTTAGGCATTTCTCCTAAATATACCTGGTATTTCCCCAAATGTTTCAAACAACTTAGTCATTGAACATTGTTAAAGCCCAAATGACCCATAATAATGATATCATTGCAGCCCCCATCTGCACAGCTACAGGAAGCCAGTGTGGCACCAACGGCGACTGCACAACAACGGCTACTCCTTACGCCTGCACCTGCAAGAACGGATACTCTGGCACATTGTGCACCGTCGGTTAGTTCAGTGTAAAACTTGTATGACACTCATCTAGTTGTCTTATCCAACACTCTCATGAATGTTTCTTCCATGGCAAACATTAACAGTGCAACTGTATTTCTCATACTGGCATATTTGTTTCACAAACAAGTACAATTAGGTTACTGCACAACAGCCACCCCTGTGTCTGCACCTACAAAAACAGACACTCTGGAACAAAGTGCAACATACGTTAGTTCAGTTAGTCGCGAAATTCAGTTTCACAATCCGAGGCTGTCGGGAACGGCTGAAATGGACAGCATTGCTGTGCTTGTTCTTCTGGTTAGGGTTAGGGTTAGGGTATTGGTCAGGGTTAGGGTTAGGGTTAGGGTTAGGGTCAGGGTCAGGGTTAGGGTTAGGGTCAGGGTCAGGGTTAGGGTTAGGGTTAGGGTTAGGGTTAGGGTTCAAGAGACGTGTTCTGTTACAATATGCTTCTGCAATACGCGGCTTGCTTGGGGCACAGAACACCAACAGCGGTTTCAGTGACGAAAGTGAATACATGACACTTTTTTATGGACAACAACTTCTTTTATTCTTTGTACGACGTTTCAGAGCTACTTCTTACTCCTTCAGCTGGTGATTGACAACCTGATGACCTCATTCAACATTGTTAACACCATATCATCCTTAATAATAATAATATCATTGCAGCCCCCGTCTGCACAGCTGCAGGAACAGAGTGTGGCACCAACGGCGATTGCACAACAACAGCATCTCCCTACGTCTGCACCTGCAAGAACGGATACTCTGGAACAATGTGCACCACCCGTTAGTTATTTTACATGCTTCTATGGACGGTCTCAAAATTCAGTTTCATAATCCGGTACTTGACCGCGTTTCGCTACCGTGTCATACATGAAGAGTCAAGCGGTTTTTGTTGACCTTTATATTTATTCCGATAGCAGGAATATGTTGTTATCAATTATGACTTTCGTAGGTATGCCAGAATCCATTGCTTGTTTGTTATAATCTCAGATTCGCAATGGTTAGGATCCTGGGTTGGTAAGCTCCCCACTAATAGTTTCGCTGAACTGACAATGTATAAAGCGCCGATTAAGAGAACTATCACAACGGAATTAAAATTATAATAACCCTTAATAACATCATTGCAGCCCCCATCTGCACAGCTGCAGGAAGTGAGTTCGGCACCAATGGCGATTGCACAACAACCGGCACTCCTTATGTCTGCACCTGCAATAACAGATACTCATTATACGACTTGATTCAAACAGTACACTTAAACGCAAAACTCACACATCATCGTTAAAACCGTTAATTACCCTTGATACTCATATCATTGCAGCCCCCATCTGCACAGCTGCAGGAACTGAGTGTGGCACCAACGGCGATTGCACAACAACAGCATCTCCCTATGTCTGCACCTGCAAGAACGGATACTCTGGAACAATGTGCACTACCCGTTAGTTATTTTTTAAGCTCCATGTCCCCACCAATATAAAACCCGCATCAGTTTCACTGAACTGACAATGTATAAAGCAATCGATTAAGACAACTATCACAACATAATTCAAACTAAAATTACCCTTAATAACATCATTGCAGCCCCTATCTGCACAAAGTGAGTGCGGCACAAATGGCGACTGCATAACAACGGGAACTCCTTATGTCTGCACCTACGAGAACGAATCATTATACGACTTGATTCAAACAGCACACTTAAAGCCAAAACCCACACAGCATCGTTAAACCCGTTTATAACACTTGGTACTCATATCATTGCAGCCCCCATCTGCACAGCTGCAGGAACTGAGTGTGGCACCAATGGCGATTGCACAACAACAGCATCTCCCTATGTCTGCACCTGCAAGAACGGATACACTGGCACACTGTGCACCACAGGTAAGTGACGTTGACAGCACATTTACAAGCTGTGAAGTAAAACACACGCACTTCTTTCATAAACAATAGACTTGCCTGGAACATATATGAGCTCTGAAATAAAACACATGAACATTATACGACTTGATTCAAACAGCACACTTAAAGCAAAATTTCACACAGCATTGTTCAAACCGTTAATTACCCTTGATACTAATATCATTGCAGCCCCTATCTGCACAGCAGCAGGAACTCAATGCGGTACCAACGGCGACTGCACAACGGCAGTGACTCCCTATGTCTGCACCTGCAAGAACGGATACAGTGGGACACTGTGCACCACCCGTTAGTTAAGCGTTATACTTTTATGGAAGTCTCCAAATTCAGATTCATAATCCAGCACCTTGCCGAGTATCATCTCCGCGGCAAAATGAGCAGTTAAATTAATTTGTTATATACCAACAATTCCTCCAGAGACAAGCGCAATTACTAAGTGTGTGGCAGTATATCACTTCACCTTGTCCTAACCCTGGTTTGCTCTGTGGAAATGACCGCCTCCGTGGCCTAGTGGTAGAGCGTCCGCCCGGAGAGCGGAAGGTCCACGGTTCGATCCCGGGCCGCGTCATACTAAAAGACGTTAAAAGATTGTACTTGTTGTTACCCTGTCTGGCGCTCGGCATTAAGGGGCTAAAACAAGGACTGGTCGGCTCGGAGTCAGTATACTGTGTCTGAGTGGGGTATTCATGTTAAACTGCGGCATGGTATCTCAGTGAGCTAGCACTATAAATCGGCATCAGTCCGGACTAGTACAAGCAGCCACACACACACATACACGTGCATGCACGTCGCTATATAAGTGCAATAATCTTGGACGCAACGTTAAACCCAATTTCACCTCACCTCACCTCACCTCTGTGGAAATAGCTGGAACAGGGATATCAGTGTGTTTTTGTTTTGGATACGATAATATTTTATTTTGCAATGTCGATAAACCTTATGGGTTTACGATTTGTTTTTGACTATTCCAGAGATAGATAGGAGACAGAAAAACCGATAATGTTTATCTCCCAATTTAAAATAGATGGAAGTGTAGTGAACGTCATACATAATAGGTTGTGGCGCCATGATGTCTTCTGACACATAAAACATGACATTGACAATATTATGGATAGCCTGTCAAGAAAGCTGTCCTTACTAATATAACGATGACGTTGGTCGTATCAAATAAGTTACTTTCTTAATTATGTAAGGAATTGTTTTAAGAGTAATCTCCCCTTGCTGCCAGAGGGCGTATATGTTTATGCTCACGTGAGCATGACCCTCATGTGACAGCAAGTTAAGCAAATATAGGTATGTATGTATTCACATTACTTGTGCCACTATATGTGGATATGAGTGTATATATAACCGGTTCAACGAGTAAACAAGTATGCTTCCCTTGCCTTGAACTATATTGATAAATTTCATGATAACCGAGGTCAACTTTAAGTGAGTGTGTGAGTATGGTTTAACGCCGCATTTAGCAATATTCCAGCAATATCACGGCGGGGGACACCAGAAATGGGCTTCACACATTGTACCCATGTCGGGAATCGAACCCGGGTCTTCGGCGTGACGAGCGAACGCTTTAACCACTAGGCTACCCGACCGTCCTCAACTTTAAGTGAATATATTAGAAGGCAAATGATTAAAATGTCTCGAATGACCAGCACTTGCAATTGAAGCACATCCATGAAGCTCGTGACGCACGCATTGTTTTTCATAATTACAATCTGCACTCTATGAATAATTTGTTATATTTTATTTTAGCACCAATATGCACCGCAGCAGGAACTCAATGTGGGAACAATGGTGGTTGTAACACCTGCGGCACCGTCCCCTCCTGTCAGTGCAACGGCGGCTACGGCGGCAATACCTGCTCTTCAGGTAATGCAAAACTCAAACGATAACTGACTATCTGTTTGAATGGAGCTCTCTATTATTTCAAGCGCGCCTGTTTGGGGAGAATGTATATGCAGTGTATAATCACAGTTTATATAAAAATCCATAACTGTTTTACAGATCATATCCAGGTCATCCCGCAGCGCTTCAATAAACTTATGAAAGGGACTTAAAATATCAATGTATTGCATACCAAATAAGGCACCATCAGCTGGTCGATATAAAAACATATGACCTACATGAATACCGACCCCTTTCTTTATCATTGGCCAATGATAGTCGTGGTACGAAAGTCCTTGGTTATGTATCACACGTTAGGTGTAAACTCAATTTACTGGTCATATGTATGGAATAATGTTGGGACACTGTCAAGATCGCGAGAATGCTACAAACGTCGATGCTGTGAATGTCCCTTACAATATTCCAAACGTGTGTATGAGCTTAAACAAATTCGTGTTTTGTTAAAACGTCTTCTTCCTTTTTCTTTAAGCCCCGGCCTGCAGTTATACTGGGAATGAGTGCCTGAACAAAGGTTCCTGCAACACCACAGTGTCTCCCTACACATGCGACTGTGCAGCCCTCTTCACCGGCAACACTTGCAGTGAGTACTCCAGAAAGTCTATGTTTCCACTCCGCTCCGATGTCAGGGACTATTTATGAAGTAGCTATCAAAGCAGTATTGTCCTATCTCCTTCATCTTGAAGCATTAGATTAAAAGTGGATTTAAACATTTATTGAGATCTATACTACATTACTGTATACTTACAATGACGACACCGGAAACCGTCCATGTTGAAGGTCGAGGGTGAAGGTCAAAGGCACCTCTGTGACCCATTTGACGTTAATATGTCATACATCATGTGGAAAGTTTCCTAACTAAATGAGTTCCTGTCCTTTGACCTTAGGTGATATACCCGTCTTCCTAATGTTTCATATCTGACATGGAGTTCGAATCCCGGTTCGCCCTGATTATGTTTCTAGGTTTGTCAGCACCATACCCGTGCTCGTGGGTTTCATCGAAGTGGTAAACGTCTGAGACCTGCATCACTTCGGGCTTTCCTCCCACATTAAGCTGACACGCCGCTATATAACTGGAATACTGTTAAAAGCGGCGTTAAACCCAACTCACTCACTCACTCATATCTGACATGGACATCAGTGAGGTAGCTTCACAATTGACCCTTAAAACATTACCTGGTCTTGTTAAACTTCTAATTGTTGGCTCCGGTATTAATATAACAAATATTGTCGGTCTCCAGTAAAATAATCAAAAGGAATTAAGTGAAATGATTGATATTACTCTTGTAATAACATCCTAAAAATGAAATGAACATGATATATTACGGGAATAAGTGGATACTTTTCCTAAGGATGAGCAGTAACTTTTTCACATTAAGATGGAACTTAAGAGCTGACTGAAACGTTATATTGTTTTTCAGGTGTCTACAACTCAGGTCATCACGTGACGTACTTCTTGGCGTCCATCATCTTCTGTGTGTTTGGAAGTGTTCTGTTTATGTAACTGTCGAGTTGTATCCTTCCCAGGATCTCTCACCCACTAGAACACGGGGTACCATACATGAATTTACACCACACAAGTTGTAACAATATCGACTCGGGAAGAAACTACTTCTTTAGACCATATTTAAAGTAAAACCTAGAGCTTGGTCTTTAGGTGTTATAACTGTTTTGTGGGCAAGTTATTGATTTGTGTGTATCTCTGAGAACAACATAAAAAGTTCCTGTAAAACATGAAAAAGTTTGTTCTGTACCCTGATGACGTGTCGAGTCACAGACTTCTGTCAGTTGTTCCACTGATATAAAGGGTATCGTTCAACAATGAATGTGTTTGTGTTGTATTTCTTTGCCAAATCGTGGTTAAACTCCCTGTCAGGGATATGAGCGAGTGAATTAGGATTTAAAGTCACAATATTTCAGCCATATCGTGACTAAGTATGATAGCTTCTTACAAATCCCATAAACCTGACGCACCAGAGTCTACACCTTCCCAACAGTCCCACTATATCAAAGCGGGTGGTCACCAGCAATTGCGACGTTACGATTCAGCGTTATAATACGGCGTTAAATACTACTTCCTTGCAGTACACGTAAACATTTGAGGATGTAGGGGGGGGGGGGGGGGGGGACATACATTATGATTATGGAAATGTCTTTGGTTGCTGGATTCTCTGGGACTTATTCTAACCCAATGCTCTTCTACGTGTGGGGTTAGGGTGTGACGGTGAGGCTTTATATAGGGAAAGATTAACTTACAGAGTAGTTTGTGTACAGACTTCGAACTTTACCAAGTGGAGAAGTGTGTCGGGTGTTATGACAGTTTCTGCCATAATAGAGTAATAGTCGTTTTACTGCTGATTGTAATGATCGCTGGATACCTTGTGGCAAGACAAAACACATCTGCTCATAGCATAGGCAACTTTCCCTGTCTGTATGCAATATTTACTTATATCAAACAGTAGAAAAGTATCACTGTAGTATTACTGTCTTATAGGTGTAATGTAACCGCTAACACAAATACAATCTTTTACGATTTTCACTGGACAGTGTAAGTAAAGGGAATTTTGTTCCAAAAGTGGCTTTAAACATTGAATATGATAACGTTTTGGTACCGTTTTGAAGCATCCTGTTCACAGGTATACTTTAAGCGTAATCTGAATTCTGATGAAAAAATGGCAAGTACGCAGTCTCAAAGACAAACATAGGCTGCTGGGGACCTATTCTTACCCGGAATCACAGAGGTAAATGTTAGGGAGCTGCCAGGTTTCATAAATCATCCAATATAAGGAATATCATGTATAATTTCAAAGCAAGCGAGTCAGAACATTTGCGTAACGGAGCTAAGTGTTTGTAATGAAACTTTAGGATTCAACAAGCCATCATTACACGTCCCCTGGCCATAAAAACTATCTTAATAGAAATCCAGGGAGTGATATTTCCTGTGGAGGTGAAAGTAGGTCAATTGTTGGCGGCTGCATCAAAGGGAGAGGTGTGTGTGCTGAAACATGATCAGCCCTTGGCCAACTTATACATGGTGGGTTGCCATGGCATTTAGTGACCGACATAATGACAATATACTTAACAGCACGATATAGGATAGGATTGCACAACAATGACATCAGTAAACAAGAGCATGTTTTTACCTCGTGATAACTTAAATATCATAGGTGAAATACTTGGTTATGAAGCAAGGTACAAGATTCGTTATGTGTTGTGTGGCCTAATAATACACTCTTCAAAAAAAGAAACGCACAGGTGGTATGTGGTTCATTGAACCTGACTACACAACAAATCCGGTATATAAATTGCATATGTGTTATTGGAAAATGTTGGTGGCCTGATATTCGACAAACGGTGCGTCAAAACGCAGCCATTGTCGATTTGCAATGGCTTAAACGGCATTGTTTTCACACTTGTCATGGAGGAAAACAATAACGCAAAATGCACGTGCACGTTATGGCATTCGTAACTCGTGGTAGTGGCTATAAAAAGGCAAGCATAAGCCAAATATTTTTCATTCAATTGTCAACATTTTTCAAGTTCGAAAATGCCGAGCCTCAGCGCTGTCGATCCTAACGTCGCAATAGGACGTATCCAAAGAGGGGAATCGCAGTCTTCTGTTGCGCGCCACTTCAACATCAGCCACAGCGCCATTTGCCGCCGTTGGGACAGATACACACTGTTTAATTCCACTGATGACCTTCCGAGAACTGGCCGACCAAGAGTTACCAGACAACTCACTCACTCACTCACTCACTCACTTATGTATGTTACTGTGACCTACAGGGCAGGGCGCTGTGATAGCCAAATGTTAACGCGTCCGATCTTCAAGCTAAATCGCCCGGTTTGTATCTATGCAATGTGTGAAACCCATTTCTGATGTCTCCTCCATGTCATTGCAGGAATATTGCTAAAACATACCCACCCACTCAAAAATCTAATAAAATATATTGGCGGAGCCCGAGACAGAATATATTCCAAGGTTTCCAGAGGAGCCAAACAGTATTTTCGGAGCCTCACTCAATACATTGATTTCTGGGTATCCATTGACAATATATTTCCACTCTCCTCCCTTTGGTGTTAATTTGTAGATATGACTCTCTACCGTGATTCGTAAATATGAGCCGTGTCATTGGGATCGTATGCTGTATTGACATGGCTAAGCTGTTATTAATGTGGTCATTTCAGACACTGCTTTCAGAATAACACCGTGTCACGCTACATGTTTTAATAGTCCTTAAGTAGGGTATTATGGGACGGTGGTAGAGTTTTATGACATGTTAGGTATGTGTGCAATGCACTGAAAGTTTATTTATCCTCAAAAACGTAAATTTCATTGGGACAAAATATGTTTAATTTAACATCTAGAAAACCATTTTGCTTTTGAATCCATTCATACCTAATGTTATGTGTGCTATGAAACAAATGCGTGTGCATCCTTTTCATCAAGTAACACAATTTATTGATAACACAATATCTAGAAAATGAATTATATGTTTATCCTTTCACTTCGATCCCTTCTTTACTCACCGGCCCGTTTGGCACTAGGTCAACATTCACTAATCTGTGTTAAGCAGAGAAAGATTAACACCATAAAATCCATTCATACACCATCTGTGAAATATCAGTGGAATTTGCGATGATGTTGGGAGTGGCAACCGCATACCCTTTTACTGTTAGGATGTTTACACAGTGGCTGGGGTCTGAGTGGGTCAGACGTGGACGTGTGGTGTTCTCGTGGCCAGACATTGTGTTATCTGTTCCGATAGAACCACGCGGAGAAGTCCATAACAATGACCCTGGTCACATTTCTAATTCATGTTGTAAAATGATGTTAAAACTCGCCTTGCATTGAACTTGTACGCGCTTTTGCTATTGTATTTACTCGGATTTTCTGCCAGCGCAACGTAGCATCAAAAACAGTTTTGTTAAAGATTTGTTCATATGTCAGAAACGTATGTTCACGTATTATACAGTTCGTAACATTGCAACAAGCTTGCCATCGAAAGGACAGATGGTTATGTTTTCGCGTCCGCGCCTGAATTAGTTTTGAATGGTGAATAAGGAATTATTTTCTAGGGACGTACTTTCTCATCAGCTCGGCGAACTCTTAAGACGAAACTGAAATGGCATCGTTGTATTACACTGGCGTCTCTGTTAATTGATCTGTTATGTTTGACCGATTATTACAGAAGCTAGAAAGGTGTGCGACAAGGAGAAACCCTTTCATTCTTTCTCATTTCTTTTTAATGATCAAAATATATTTTCCGTTTTTCTCTAATGATCTAGAAACATTTGTACAGGACCTGTGCGCTGACTTCGACTTTCGACACATCTAAAATGCTTCTAGCTGTCCTTTTTCTCTGTTAATGGTCAGTGACATGACTTGTATACATACGTGAATAATTTTGTATATACTGTAACACGTGAAAACCTAAAATATCTTTGGCAAAATACTAATTATTTTCGGCGTACCATAGTGATGTTAGTGTGTATTATATCACTGACAAAGTCCGTGACAATGTTGATAAGTACAAACACGTAGGTATCATATTTTCGACACGCGCAGCAACTTCACGAAAAAAGGAATCCTTCTGTGATAATTCACCTAAAGCATTGACGTCTTTGATAGGCATTTAGAAGAATACCTGACACTTTTTATGGATTGCAACATCTTTTATTTTTTGTTACATTCATGTGACCTCTGAAGCAAAAAGGCTGGTGCAATAATATCCCACTTATTCAAAGGTTTTTTTCACATCCCCGAGATACTGAGGGTGAGTATCCATTATATAGAAGATATATTATAGAGAATCTCACCCGAGTGTCTTTTGATATCAAATATATCACCACGAGTTGAAAAAAGTTGAAAAACTCCGAGGCATAGCATTGTGCTGCATTTCCATGCAGCGATATCTACAGTGTCGAATAACGAATTTCTGTACCAGAATTTTTATTTAACAAATGTTATACTTTGGATAACACTTTCTTAGTAAAGTACAGATTGTCGTCCTTTTGGGGGGTTGAGTCCTATCCGGGACCACACACTGCCAGATTGAGGCACATAAGCGCCAGCGATCTAACCCACTCAGCCACCGAGGCTTCCACACAAATGAAAGTCATCCTTGTCTAACACATCATGAAGTGTCAAATAAATCGGTAAAATGCGAAGAACTAAGCTTGACAGAAGCTTTAACGTTGCTATACATACATTTAAGTACATTAAAACAATTTTCCATGGATGCATTATGAGAAGGCTCGTAGGTAAAGATATTTATCATCCAAAACTGACTCCCACAGGAGATAACGCTTAGGTGATTTGTGTAAAAATATATTTGATATAAAAAAAAACTTGGGTAAGATTCTCCATATATTATATATTACGTTTTTTAAATATACTATACATTCCACAGGCAAATGTTTGATGTATAAACTGGTACATTTATTTTTTATGCAGATTGTGTGAGTGGCCGATGTTAACGGTAGAACTGGAAATGTTTACCCTTTTCTCGAACACCCGGTGTCATGACCGTGTTTCAGTGTTCCACTCATTCCAGTTTCACCACTATCGAGACTGTTTATACTACGGTTGCCGTTATAATAGCCTTGAGTGTAAATAAAAGCGACAAAACCCTTTACATATTCATAAGAAATCGCTTCCAAAAACAGTCGATTGTACGATTCCGACTATATCATGAGCATGTGTTTATGCATTACTATCAAATAGTAATGATGCCAGGTGTTCGTGAAAAGGTGAATGTATCCTGCCCCATCGGTGGCTTTTTTAAAGCTTTACTGGAGCTTTGAATGTTGTAACCTTGA